AAAGGTCAGGGCTGGAAAAGGGAAAGGAAAAGCTCTAAAATAAACCCTAAAATAAATCAGGGATGTAGGACAGGGTTGCTGCAGGACTGCCCTGTGCATTTCTCTGGGATTGTCATGGTTTTGCATGAGAGACACTTAGGGGAGTGATGGAAAAGCACAAAACAAGCAAAGGTTTGTGGTGTTCTGGAAGGGGCAAAGTCTCCCCCCAAAGCTGGTACCCAAAGGCAGGGAGAGAAGGATGCCCATGGTCAAAGCAGCTCCTGGGTGGAAAAGGGAAAGGAAAAGCTCTAAAATAAACCAGGGGATGTAGGACAGGGTTGGTGCAGGACTGCCCTGTGCATTTCTGAACACCTCCCTCCAAGAGATGGAGCAGCAGCACCTCCTGACCCGGAGCCAAACTGGGACAGGGGCAGGAGAGCATCCTGAGGTGAAGGCATCCCTGCCCTCACCCCAATCCAGGAAGGAAATCCCCTTCTCCCAGCTCCTCCAGATCCCTTCCGCCCTCCTTAACCTCCTGCAACGCTTTATAAGGCCAAAAAAGCAAAAAAAATATTAAAATAAATCCATGTGCCACTAGTGCAATCCACTTTTGGGAGCACATTTCCAGGTCAATGACAGCCCCAGAGATGAGCTGAGCTCTGGCAGAAACGAGGAAGGCTCCTTCCCATTTTCCTGCTCTCTTGTTTGAAAAGGAAGAGGAGGATTTCTAATTTATGCAAGAGCTGAGAGGTGAGAGGATGTGCTTTGCTAATTCCAAAGCCTCCTTTCCGTGTTATTCCCAAATATTGTGACTGCCAGCTCGCATCTATCACGCACATTTTGAAGGGGTAAATAATGAAAGAGCCTACAAGCCTCTAATTTGATGCTGACTGCAATTCCCACTTCCAAAGACAGCAAGAAAACAGGAATAGAAACTAAACCAGTAAAAGAGAAACACGCCCTTCTCCATTTCTAACTTTAAGAACCTCAATATTCAAGGGGAAAGAAAAAGAAATCAAAATAAACTCTCAACACAGCTTCGTATTTGCTCAAATAAGCATTTTTCAACATAAGTACACAAACTGCTTCTAGGTGCAGGGCACAGGGGTCAGGGTAGGACACGGCTTGTAGGACAACACATTTCAATGATTTGCACCCAACAAGCAAACCCCCCTCCCCAGCAGGAACAATAACTGAGCACCTAATTGCAAAACAATATCTTAATTGTCAATTTGAATCTAGGTTTCCTCCTCAGATTTAAATCTGGCTTTTTTTTTTTTTTTCTTTTTCAAATTGCATTGATTTAACTCAATCAACCCTGCCCGAAGGCCATCTTTCCTGCATGCTCTGAGCATACCAAGCAAGTTTCAACCAATTAGATAAATCACTGAATCTCAGAACTTCCTAGCAGCGACGTATCAAGCCATGCACAAGCTCTAATTATTCTTTTAAATACGTCTCATCCTGAAAACTTCACCAAAATAAGCAGCTCAGGGGGGAATTTCACCATCTTTTATTTATTTTTTTTTTTTAACCTAGGGCACATGATAGCCAGCTGAATTCTGCAGGAGACTTGCATGGTCATTGCAAAACCCACTGTTTAAAGGTGTTTATTATTCCCTGTGCTGATGGGAATAATGCTGCTGCACGAGTTTTATTCATTTATTCTTTTTTTTTTTCCCTCTGTGTGTGTGTGTGTGTACACCCACACCCACACCGCAGCCTCGAGGTGTTACACTCCAGCACGGCAAGGAAAAGCAGGGAATGATGATGGACTCACCCCGAGGAAAATCCTGAATAATGGAAGTTTCTAGCACAAACAGCTTCCCGGGGACCCCGGAGCACAGTCCCCCATCAGCAGCAGTGGAAATATGCTCCTGTGACACTGCACAGATTGTTCAAAGATTCCCATGACAGGCAGAGGATTAAAAAGCAATTCCCTGCCTCTCATATTTCACATGCAAAGCCGTCTCTGGGAACGGCAGGCAGGAAAAAGATGGATCTCCCCGAACTCAAAAATGCGGGTATTCCATTAAAAAAACCCCCTTAAAAACGGCAGCATCAAAGCAGGAACTGCCCCACGGGGACAGACACAGCGCTGCAAACCCGACCCAGCTTTGTATTCCCAAAAAAAAACCCCTGCAAATTCCAGGCAATCTGCAAATGATTTCCCTCTTCCCCACCCAAACATCCACTGCAAACTCCTACAATCGCCAGGCAGGCTTGCAGGGAAGGGATGGAAATAAAACCATTCCTTACCTTTAACTTGAGTGTCGTATTCAGCTATGATCTCCTTATCCTTTTTGAATTTTGCTGGCGACGTCATGTTTTCTTGTCCAAAAAGCTGAATAACCTCGAAAGAGATCCACCAGAACACGAGATATAAAAGGGAATTTTCGCTCCTCTCAGCACGATGCCTTGGCTTTCTGCTCGTCCTTCCCTTCCCCCCCCCCGCAAAAAGGGAAAAAAAATCAAAAAATCAGTCCATGGAGAGAGGGTGTGAGAGGGAGCACAGCAGCAGGAAAATGCAGATGTTGAGATCAGCGGATGGAAGAGGCAGCAGTTTTGTCTCCCTGCACCAAATCCTTGAGCAGCAGCATCAGCCTGGCGAGATCCTGCAGCCCCAAAGGCTCTTCCTGATCCTCAATAGCACAGCCAGGGAGTGGAAGTCCTTCCGCACATGTTTTGTGTGGGTTTGGTTTGCCCTTTTTTTATTTTTTTTTCCCCTCTCTTCTCTTCTTTTTTTTTTTTTATTTATTTATTTCTTTTAATGGGCACGGAGATGATGCAAATCAAATCCCAAACGAGAGCAGCAGCAGAGGAGAAGCAGCTTTTGGTTTGCTTGCCTACAAATACAAAAAAAAAAAAATAATAATATATATATATTTAGAAAATTACTGCTGGCAGCCCAAATTTGTGATGGGAAGCAAAGCTGCCCTGACACCCTGACATTGCAAATCGTCCTTTGAGCAGCAGCAGTGCGAGGTTCCAGCTGCAGCCCCCAGGTGAACACGCCTACACCGGGACCGGGCACGGCTCGGACACGGCGGCTCCTTCGGGATATCCCGGGGGTGGTTTGGGGTGCAGCCCCCGAGGGAATAGGGGATGGTTTGGGGAGCAGGGATCCTTTGGGGAGCAGGGATCCTTTGGTATGCGGCTCCGGTGGGAGCTGGGGTTCATTTGGGGTGCAGCTCCCGGGGGAGAATTTGGGGTTGATTTCGGGCACAGGTCCCAGAGGAGAATTTGGGGTTGATTTGGGGCGCAGGTCCCAGAGGAGAATTTGGGGTTCAGGTTCCGGGAGAGAATACGGGGTTCATTTGGGGTGACGGTCCGGGAGGAGAAGGTCCCAGGAGAGAATTTGGGGTTCATTTGGGGTGCAGGTCCCAGGGGAGAATTTGGGACTGATCTGGGGTACAGGTCCCGAGGGTTATGGGGCTGTTCGGGGAGCGGCTCCCAGGTGAATGGGGCTCCTTTGGGATGCGGCTCCAGTGGGAGAATTTGGGGTTTATTTGGGGTGCAGGTCCCGGGACAGAATTTGGGGTTGATTTGGGGTGCAGGTCCCGGGGGAGAATTTGGGGAGCAGCTCCCAGGGGAACGAGGCTCTTTCGGGATGCGGCTCCAGTGCGAGCTGGGTTTCATTTGGGGTGCAGCTCCTGGGAGAGCATTTGGGGTTAATTTGGGGTGCAGGTCCAGGGGGAGACTTTAGGGTTCATTTGGGGTGCAGCTCCCGAGAGAGAATTCGGGGTTGATTTGGGGTGCAGGTCCAGGGGGAGAATTCGGGGTTGATTTGGGGTGCAGCTCCGGGAGGAGAATTCGGGGAGCGGCTGCCGGGGATTCCGGGGCTGTTCGGGGAGCGGCTGCGAGGCCTCCCTGGGCTGCGGCGCTGCCCCGGTCCCGCAGCATCCCCCGCTGACCGCGGGCTCGGCCCCGCCGCCGGCAGCCCCGGGCACACCGGGCGCGCCCCCGCCGGGCGGCTCCGCCCGCAGCTTCTCCCTTTTCGGTTTTCTTTTCGGGGGGGTGATTTAGGGTTCCTTCCAGCGCCCGCTGCGCCGTGCAGGGCGGGACACAACTTTTCCCCCGTCTTTTCTTTCCAATTTGGATTTGTTCCCCGTTTTTTTTTTGGGAGGAGGGGGAAGGAGGGCGGGCGCGCGGCCGCAGCCCCCGCGGGAGATGCGCGGACGGAGGAAGAAATAAATAAACAAACACGGCACCCGCCGGATCCGCATCCCGCCCGGGATAGAACAATGCGGGCGGCGGGGAGAGGAAGCGTGGGGGGGTCCCGAAGGGGGGGCCGGGGTTGGGGGGACGCGGCTCGGGGCGCTGGGGAGGCGGCGGGGCCGGCGGCAGAGCGCTGCTCGTGGCCTGCCGGGGGTGGCACGGGAGGGCCGGGGGTCGGGCGGCCGGGCGGGGCGATTACCTGGGCGCTGCGGAGCCGCCTCCCGCAGCCGGGCGTCCTCCGGCCGCTGGCGCCCGCCGCCCGGTCCCCCGCACCGGCCCGCCACCGCCCCGCCCCGCCCAGCGGCTCAGCCAATGGGCGCGGAGCGCTGGGTGTGAGCGACGGGCGTTATAACCAATCAGACATTGCCGTCCATAAGATGAGCCCGCCCCCTCTTCCCGCCGCTTGGCGCCCGTGGCACCGCCCCGCCGGCGGAGCGCGGCGCAGGGGCGGGACGAGAGTGTGAGTGACAGCAGATACAACCAATAAAAGCGACGCATGGCGCGCCTTTCCACCAATAGCCAGGCGGGAGGGGTGGTGCCACCGGATTTTTCAATGGAGTGGGTGTGGCCTGCGGCGCCCAATGGGAGGGCGCGGTCGGGAATTCAAACTGACAGGTGGGAGCGTGGCCGTTGGTGCAGGAACGGGACCGGACCGGGACAGAAACCGGGACCGGGATTGGGATCGGTACAGGGACCAGGATCGGGACCGGGGCAGGACCGGGACCGGATCGGGACACGAGCGGAGCGGACCGGCCCGGGCTCCCAGCCGCCATGTCGTCCAGCAGCGGCTGCACCTTCGCGGACCGGTGCGTGACCGTGCTGTGCTGCCGGTTCTGCCGGCAGGTGCTGAGCTGGCGGGGGATGCAGGCGGTGCTGCTGGCCGACACCGACACCGACCTCTACTCCACCGACATGCCGCCCTCGGGGTAAGCGCCGGGAACGGAGGAAGCGTGGGTTCTACCGGGGCACGGGGTCCGGCCAGCCCCGGGGGACACGGCTGGAATGGCTCCGAAATCCGCTGTCACCGGGAGAGCGGCCCCGCAGTGTGGCGGTGCTCACAGGGGTCCCAGGATGAGGGAGGAGATGAGAATCTTGAGTCCCTGTCTCAGAGGGTTGATTTATTATTTTATGATTTATATTATATAGTATTCTATTATATCATATATAATTATCATATAGTATTATATAATTGTATATTATATATTATATATAATATATTATATAATTATAAGAATATTATATACTAAAACTACACTAAAAGAATAGAAGAAAGGATTTCATCAGAAGGCCAGCAAGAAAAGGAAAAGAATGATAATAAAATCTTGTGACTGACCAGAGAGTCTGAGACAGCCGGACTGTGATTGGCCATTAATTAGAAACAACCACATGAGACCAATCCCAGATGCACCTGTTGCATTCCACAGCAGCAGATAACCATTGCTTACATTTCATTTCTCAGGAGAAAAACATCCTAGCAAAAGGATTTTTCATAAAATATGCCTGTGACACTGCAGAGCATGGGTTACCCCATCCCTGCATCCCCAGTCCCAGCAAAAAGTGAGGCTGTGCCATGCAGGGCGAACCCAAATTTTAATTTAATCCATCCCTAGGGATGACACAGGCTCAGCAGGCACAGGAAGCTCCTCCTGCCTGTTCCCAAAGTGAGGATTAGAATTTGAAATAAAGACCCACAAACAAAACAAACCTGATCTGTCACTGCTGCCAGGGCTCTCCCCTGGCTGGGCTCAGCTTTCCCATAGCCAGATTTGAATAGTAAGGAAATCAGGTTGTGAAATGACATGGTAATCAAAAAGTATGGGTTGGAGAGGAGATAAGCAGTCAAAGGTTTGGGTTTAGACATCCCTGAGGTTTTGTTCTGTTTCAGAGCTGGGGTTTGGCAGCAATGTCCCTGAGCAGGGTTTGATGGCAGTGCCACACTGAGCACCAAGGCTCTGGCATCTCCTGCTCTTTGCAGCTTCTTCTTCACTGGGAAACCTCTTAGAGCATTTCCATCTTTATTTGTTAATATTTTCAGGGTTTCAGCACCAAACTCTGCTTCTCTGGGCTATTTTAAGAGGATTTTTGATACTCGTGCAAGGTCACATGTGTCTGTTATTCAAATTTCCATATGAGGGGGGCTGAGAGTCAGAAGAAAAATAATATAACTATATTTTATTATTATTATTAATAAAGCCATGTTTTATTATCCTGGTTTAAACCACCCAGGACCAATGGCAGCATAATAATAATAAAAATAGTAATAGTAATAATAATAAGCAGCTAGGTCTGTGCTCAGAACTCAAAGCTTTCTGCTCTGGCATCTCCTGCTCTTTGCAGCTTCTCTGCCCCTCAGGATGCTCCTAAATATGTACTAGGAAGCCTCTTGGAGCATTTTAATTTTTATTTTTCAATACTTTCAGGGTTTCAGCACCAAACTCTGCTTTTCTGGGCTATCTTAAGAGGATTTTTGATACTCGTGCAAGGTCACGTGGGTCTGTTATTCAAATTTCCATATGAGTGGGGCTGAGAGTCAGAAGGAAAGTAGAATAACGTGGTTTAAACCACCCAGGACCAATGGCAGCGTCCCTTTGTGGTGACTTCAGCCCGGTGTCATTGTGACCCTGAGGCTGTGTGCACCACCACAAACCCAAACTTTTGTGCATTTCCCTCCCCCAGAACCGTGGATTTCATCGGGAGCTGCTACTTCACTGAGATCTGCCAGTGCAAAGTGAGGAACATCGCCTGCTTGAAGTGGTGAGCAGCTCACACCCCACCCCACAGCTGTCCCAGCCCCGTGTCCCCTGCTCTGTCACCTCCTGCAGCTCAGCAGTTTTGGGCTGAAGGAACAGCTTGCCTTCCCTGCTGCAAATTTAACGCTGCTGGGGAGAAAAACCAGGCTGCCCCAGGGTATTTCTGTGAGTCCCCAGTGGAAATGTGACAGCGTTTTCACAGGAGGATGAGTCTCCTGAAAGCTTCTGTGCCACCTGCCCGATGGAATGTGTGCCTCAACACTGAGATTTCCCTGCGAATAAGGCCCCAGCAAGAAGCAGTTACTCATTCTCTAATTAATAGAGCATCCTCTTGGCAGATTGCGTTGCTGGGAGCAGATGGAACACGCTGTCGCTGAAGTTCTGGGAGTTCTTTTATCCTCCTTAATAATGCTTGATATTTAAGGGTGAAAACAACAACTCTCACAGTTATCTGAGAGAATTCTTTCAGCTCCCCGATGGAGATTTTTACCTTTCTCAGGTTTGAACAATTGGGGGGTTGTGATAGGGAGAGAGAATTCTTTCTGAGACAATTCTTTCAGTTCCCTCATTGAGATTTTTACCTTTTTCGGGTTTGAACAATTGGGGGGTTGTGATAGGGAGGGAGAATTCTTTCTGAGACAATTCTTTCAGTTCCCTCATTGAGATTTTTACCTTTTTTGGGTTTGAACAATTGGGGGGCTGTGATAGGGAGAGATAATTCTTTCTGAGAGAATTCTTTCAGCTCCCTCATTGAGATTTTTAATTTTCAGGTTTGAACAATTGGGGGGTTGTGATAGGGAGGGAGAATTCTTTCTGAGACAATTCTTTCAGCTCCCTCATTGAGATTTTTAATTTTCAGGTTTGAACAATTGGGGGGTTGTGATAGGGACACAATATTTTGGTTTTTAGATAGAAGTAGAGAAACAGAAATATCTCCAGGTATTTCTAATACCAGAGCACATGAAAATGGATAAATGGTTGTTATGGTTTCAGTCTAGGAGAGTTGATAAGGGTCAATAATGTGGCCCAGAGCAGCTGTGGCTGCCCCATCCCCATCCCTGAAGTGTCCAAGACCAGGCTGGAGCACCCTGGGATGGTGGAAGATGTCCCTGCCCATGGCAGGGGGTGGAAATGGATGAGATTTATGGTCCTTTCCAAGCCAAACCATTCCATAATTCTCAGTTTCATCACTCCTGCTGCTGGCAGCCTCCTGTGCACGGTCCTTGTGTACAGGTGAATTTTGGGTGTGAGGAATTTCTCTGCTGGTTGGAATCACTGCCCTTCCAAAGGAAAACAAATAAATCCACCAGCATTTGTTGGTATGTAAACTAATCTGGGTTACACAATTTAGGTTACTAAACACTTCTCTGTGTGCCAAAGATCTAAAACTCAGATATTCTGTAACTCCCAACAGATGTTCCCTAAATATTTCAGATACTTGTTTCACCCTGTTCCCTTAACCCTATCAAAACACCAGCATTACACAAAGCCCTGGCACTGGGGCTGTTCAACTGGAGCTGGAAAAAGCCCCCAAGATCCACCTCTGTCCCCAGGCTGACTCTTTCCCTTGCTTTTCCAGTGGGAATGTTGTTGGCTACCACGTCATCTGTCCCTGCAAGCCCTGCCTGCAGTCCTGCAACAACGGCCACCTCTGGATGTTCCACAGCCAGGCCGTGGTTGGCATCAACAGGCTGGACCCTTCTGGTGAGGGACACCTTGGCTTCCTTCCTTTCCCTAAAATCCTCGTCCCCCATCACAGGATTATTCACAGAATCACTGGGTTGGGAGAGACCTCAAAGATGATGGAGTCCAATCCAGGTCCAACCCCTCAACTGAACCCTGGCACCCAGTGCCACATCCAGATTTGTGTTAAACACACCCAGGGATGGGGACTCCACCTCCTCCTCAGTCCCTGGGAATTTCAAAAATTCACAAAATTCACAGAATCACCAGGGTGGAGGAGACCTCAAAGATCATCAAATGTAACCCAGCTCCAGCACCCAACTAAACCCTGGCACCCAGTGCCACATCCAGATTTGTGTTAAACACACCCAGGGATGGGGACTCCACCACCTCCTCAGTCCCTGGGAATTCCCAAAATTCCCTGAATTCACAGAATCACTGGGCTGGGAGAGACTCAAAGATCATGGAGTCCAACCCAGCCCCAACCCCTCAGCTGAGCCCTGGCACCCAGTGCCACATCCAGGCTTGGTTAAGGGACTCCACCACCTCCCCGGGCAGCCATTCCAGAACTTTATTGTCAGATTATGCTCTTTTCTGACCCAGAGATGGGGCAACTCAGAGGCATCTTAAAAACTTTATTCCATTTTCAGTCTCATGTGAAGGGTGAGACAACACAGATGTTACAATTCACACCATCACAATCAGAAGTTAACGATTTCCTAATTACAACACATCACAAGTGCTTCTTGGCCTATCAGCTTTTGCCACACCATGCTGTAAATGCCTAATTCTCTACAAATTCATTTCCCACACTTTATCACCCTTTTTGTAAAAAACTTTTCCCTGCTATCCAGCCTGTATTTCCCTTGGTGCAGCTCGAGGCTGTGTGCTCTGGTTGTGTCAGTGCCTGCAGACAGAGCCCAGCCCCAGCTGAGCACAGGCACCTTTCAGGAGCTGCAGAGTGATGGGGGCAGCCCTGAGTCTCCTTTGCTCCAGGCTGAGCACCCCCAGCTCCCTCAGGGCTTCCTCACAGGGTTTTGGGCTCTTCCAAACCCATCTCAGCCTCATTGCCTGCTCTGGATGAGGAGGAGGAGGAGGAGGAGGAGGAGGAGGAGGAGGAGGAGGAGGGCTTCCCTTCCTCTCAAACCTGGGGGGTGATGAGCACAAATTCCCTCCCCTGCACACCATGGAGGTGATGAGCACCCCTTCCCTTTCTCTCAGACAATGGAGGATTGATTAATAAAACACTGCTAACAAAAATATTTATGTTTTTAACTTAATTTTTAAATATTTTGTCACATAGACATGCTACAGTGTAAGTTTCCTTAGCTAATCATGTTATAACACACAAATCTACAGTACTGCATTCTCAAATTCTTGTTTACCTTTTATTTTTATTTTTTTTTCTGTATCTTAAACTCTAAAACTTTAAACTTTCTTCTTCTTAACATGTCAACAGAAATAATATTTCTGTTATATTATTTTAAAATAATAGTTATATCATTATATATAATGGTATATTTTTAATAATATATGTTATATATTTAATAATATTTGTTATGTGTTTTATATGTTAATATAATTATATATGTAATATATAATGTTATATAATTATATATTGTTATATTATTTTATAATATTGTTTATATAGTTATTTTAATACTAATTTTATATAATATTATTATATATTTTATATAGTTTTGTATATTTATATAGATATATAATAATAAATTTATATAAATATATAAATATTTATCCTCTGAATTGGGCTGAAAAATAAACAACACTCCAAGATCACTTTGAAGGAAGATAGAAAATAGATTTATTCACCATGAACGTGACTTGCTGGGTTCTGCAGGGATTATTTTCTCTCAAAATAGACAGTTGTGCAACTCAAAAATAAGGTCCCAATCCAAAAATATCTCTTTTTTCCCCCCTCCCTTGTCTCCTTTCCACCAGGTGTGAATGTTTTGCTGTGGGGCAACCTGCCAGCTCTGGAGGAAAGCACAGAGGGAGACACGTCCTGCCCCTCCGAGGAGGAGTTCATCAGATAAATTCCACCTGCAGGACCTCCCCTGCACTGCTGGCATGGCTGTTTGCTTTGGATTCATTTCACTTCACCTGGTGGCTCATCAGAGCTTAAACAGCAGGAAAAAAAAAAAAAAACAGGAAATCTGGAAAAAAAATTAAAAAAAAAAATTGAATTCTTCTTGCTCTTTCCCTATAACCTTCCCTGGACTCTGCCTGAGCAGATCCACCTTGGAAATGCCAACACAAAGGGCATTTACTGAGCTCTGTTTTGCTTTTAATTCTTAACCCCTCTACAGCTGATAATCCTTCTTTTCTTCTTCCCCAAAGCACTTTTCACTGAGCAAAACCTCTCAGCTGCTGCTCTCAGTTCAAAAGAATGTTCAGGAATAATCAGCCAGGTCTGTGCTCAGAACTCAAAGTTTTCTGCTCTGGCTCTGGCATCTCCTGCTCTTTGCAGCTTCTCTGCACCTCAGGATGCTCCTAAATATGCACTGGGAAGCCTCTTAGAGCATCTCCATCTTTATTTGTCAATGCTTTCAGGGTTTCAGCACCAAACTCTGCTTTTCTGGGCTATCTTAAGAGGATTTTTGATACTCATGCAATGTCACTTGGGTCTCTACTAAAGTTCCCATATAAGGGGGGCTGAGAGTCATAAGGAAAATAATAAAACCATGTTTTATTATTATTATTATTATTAATAAAGCCATGTTTTATTACCCTGGTTTAAACCACCCAGGACCAATGGCAGCATAATAACAATAATAATAATAATCATCATCATCATCATCAGGGTTCTGTCTCCACAGAGATCAAGTTCATGGTTTTTCTCCCTGATCAAACCTAAATTCTGCAGTTTTTTAGTAGAACTTCAAGGCTACACTGGAGTTTTTTCTTCAGGGCAAGCAATAAAACCCATCCACTTTCATATACGTATATATATATATATATATATATTTCCCCTCTCCAAAACAAAACTCAGTCATGAAATTGGGTCTTTTTAGAGAAAGAAAAAAAAAAAAGTTAAATATTTGGTGTTGATGCCTAATTTTCCATCCTGAGGTGCACAGACAATCTGGTTCCTGTAGGTAATGAATTCAAAGCTCATTTTCTGAGTTGTTAACAAGCCTTGATGTTTAATTTCTGAACTAAGGGCTGTCCCCTTCAGCTACTCACCTTCAGCCACCAATAAAAAATTCCAGATAAAATCATGTCAGAGAACAGAGGGAACTTTTAAATTTGGATTGATGCTGAAGAAATCTCTCTGTAGGCTCCTGTGATACTTGAAAGGGGTGCAATGAATTGTCTCAGTATTTTTACTGCTCGTTATCCATTTCTTAATTAATGGTACTACCTCTTGTGCACTGTTTAAATGTATATTGGTGTATATTTGTATGTGTGTGTCTTGTTTTGAATTCCTGTGTTGTGTCTGCCCAGGAAATAAAAGCTTTGGACTCTGGAGTCTTCAGGGCTGTCATAAATATGGATGTGTAATGATATCAGATAATCAAAACAATGAAATAGCAGCTTGGATTAAAAGAGTAGAATAATTAGGGTTTTAGTGTTATGAATTTGTTTTAGACAACCCAAAAATAGAATCACTTCAGGCTGACAGACCTGACAGTTTCTCAGTCTCACTTAACCCTTCTATAACTCAATATCCCAATTTTCTCCAGCTTTCTGTGATCACTACAGCACCAAGCTGCCAAGGTGACACCTCAAAAATTTATTTTTTTTTTTCCCCAGAAAAATTCATGAGCTAAAAATAAATCTGATTATTTTTGCATCAGCAGCACAACAGTTCAAACCTAACTGTGCCTGTTGCCTCCTCTCCATCTCTTGCCATTTGTAACCTTCACTGTTCTGAGCCAGCAGCTCCTCTCCCACAGGGAAGCAGAGGATGAACTCCTCCCCATCCAATCTGTAATTCTGGGGGTTTCTCTGCTCCCCATCTGCACACACAGAACTGGAACTTCTGCCATGAACTCGCTCCAACAGGCTTAAAGCAGCTCCCCTCATCAGCTGGAAATTAGGAATGAGGCACTTTTGAAGGAGTTCAGGCCTTTCTTCCTGGCAATAAAGAAGTTGTAGGTGTTGTACACAAAGCATGCAAATATCCCCCATTGCCCCAGCTGTCGTGGATGCCACCAAGGTAATCAATCATGGCCAGGGCTGCTCCTTTCTGTCTGAAATTACAAAAATATCTGAGTGAGCAGTTTGTGTTAAAGCCACAGCAGCTCATTGCCAGAGCCCCAAAGGCTGGGGCTGTTCCCAAGGATCACCAGGGTTACGGACGGATTTAACCCCAAACTGGCACAAAACCAGATCAGAAACACTCCCAGGCCCTTCACCCCACCCAAAGCTGTGTTTGGAATAAACAGCTCAGCTCTCTGCTTTGCTTTCTGTCTGGTTTCTGGCACAGCAGAGGTGTTGGTGCTGTGGCACAGCCCTGCAATCTGCTGTGGAGCCCAAACCCATGGAGAAGGAGGAAGAAGAAGATTGTGACCTGGGATGACACCCTGTGCCCTCCATCTTGCACACTAAAAATCCCCAAACTCAAATTTCCCACCTAAGTGATGCACCTACACCGCTCTCTGTAATCTATTGCACACTTTTGTGATTCTATCTTGAAGTCTGGGAAACTTTCTCCATGGGTGAGGGTCACAGTCAGAGCTCCCTGGGGTCAGGGCACCCAGAGCAGACACAGAAATATTCCCAGGGCTCTGGGTTTCCACAATTCCCCTCCTGCCATGGGGAGCCCTGAAAATACCACAGTGCTGCTCACCTGTGCAATGACCTTGGGGTGAAGGAGGAAGAAGAAGGAGGATGAAGAAGAAACCCAGGACCATGTGCCCTCCATCTTGCTTCTATCCACAACATACTAAAAATCCCCAAACTTAAATTTCCCACCTAAGTGATCCACCTGCACTGCTCTCTGTAATCTATTGCACACTTTTGTGGATTCTTTCTCCATGGGTGAGGGTCACAGTCAGAGCTCCCTGGGGTCAGGGCACCCAGAGCAGACACAGAAATATTCCCTGTGTGCTCTGGGTTTCCACAATTCCCTTCCTACCATGGGGAACCCTGAAAATACCACAGTGCTGCTCACCTGTGCAATGACCTCAGGAGGATGAAGGAGGAGGAAGAAGAAACCCAGGACAACACCCTGTGCCCTCCATCTTGCTTCCATCCACAACACACTAAAAATCCCAAACTTCAATTTCTCGCAAGTGATCCACCTGCACTGCTCTCTGTAATCTATTGCACAATTTTGTGGATTCTTTCTCCATGGATGAGCGTCAAAGTCAGAGCTCCCCTGGGGTCAGGGCACCCTAGAGCAGACACAGAAATATTCCCTGTGTGCCCTGGGTGTCCACAGGTTTCTGCAAGGCTCTGGAGTCTCCTGGCACCGAGAGCTCTGCTGGAGCCCTTCCCTCTGTGCCCATGGGCTGCACCTCCTGAGCCACCCCAGGGCTCAGCCAGCAGCTCTGAGCATCTTGTGCAACACAGATTGCAGGCTCAGGGTCACAGACTGGTTTGGATGAGGACATTTGGAGCTGGGATTTGATGATCTCTAACTCCAGTTTGGTTTTGGAGTCACAGTGTGATCACTGTTACTGATACCCAGCCATTTTCCTCTCTGCAGGGCACAAAATCTGCTGGAGGGGTGAGGGAAACTCAGAGCAAGACAGTGACAAATTGACACCTCTCCATATTAAATAAGAATTACTGGGAGAAAAAGCTCATTTAAATCTTCTTCCTTATTCCAGCACAGCCTAAAGCCTCAGCACAGCCTCACATTTATGTACCACCATTGATCCCAGAGTGACAAACAGCCAGGAATTCTCCTGCCACTGAACTGCAGCCAAGTGCAGGCTGCAGAGCAGCTGCCAAGCAGGCAGAGAGTGGCCAGGCAGTGCTGAGGCATCACCCTGGGATGAAGTTCAGAGTGTTTGACCACCAAACTCCCAAAAAACTCAGTTCCTTCTCAAACCAGGACGGATCTCCACAGCACAAACCCATCAGTGATCACGCTGGGATGAAGAAGGTCCCATTGTGATCTCTGTGAGCTCAAACCCATCAGGGATCACCCTGGGATGAACAAGGTCACAGTGTGATTTCCATCAGTATAAACCCATCAGTGATTGCCCTGAGATGAAGAAGTTCACATTGTGATCTCCACCAGCACAAACCCATCAGTGATCACCCTGGGATGAAGAAGTTCACAGTGTGATTTCTGTGAGCTCAAACCCATCAGTGATCACCCTGGCATGAAGAAGTTCACATTGTGATCTCCACCAGCACAAACCCATCAGTGATCACCCTGGGATGAAGCTCACAGTGTGATCTCCATCCATCAGCACAAACTGATCTGGTGATCACCCTGGGATGAAGAAGCTCACAGTGTGATTTCTGTGAGCTCAAACCCATCAGGGATCACCCTGAGATGAAGAAGCTCACAGTGTGATCTCCATCAGTATAAACCCATTGGTGATTGCCCTGGGATGAAGAAGTTCACAATGCAATTTCCCCCAGCACAAACCCATCAGTGATCACCCTGGGATGAAGAAGTTCACAGTGTGATTTCCCCCAGCTCAAACCCCTCAGTGATCACCCTGGGATGAAGTTCAGAGCTCAAACCCCTCAGTGATCACCCTGGGATGAAGTTCAGAGTGTGATCTCCATGGAGTCAGATTCATCATTCCTTCTTTTTCTGGGAACCCTGCAAATACAAGATGGAGAAGGGGAAAAACGAGACAAGGAGGGGAAAAAAACAAAACCCACCAAAAAACCAAGAGGGAACAAATAGAGATTTGAGGCAGCTCAAATCCCTGGTGCCTCCCTTGTGATGCCAGCTGAGCTCTGCCAGGGTGGTGGCACCCAGGGCAAGCAGCCCCAGGCCCCTCTGCAGCGCTGCCATCTGCATGGCAGCCTGGGCACAGCCCAGAGCAGCCTCCCAGGGCTCCAGGCTGGGTTTAACAAGTCCTGATCTCCCGCATTTCTGTGCCTGCACTGCTTTCCTGAG